TAGAAGAGTCGCCTTTGACCTTCTCTGTCGAAATTGCGTGCTTCCTGGCTCTTTTACATCATGTTTCTTCGACTAAAACTGCCTCTTTGGTTTGTTGCAGGAAGATCGGCCTGGAGGTGTTTCTGTATGGACATCAGCCGTGCAGCCCATGGAATCATCAGATATAAGTTGAGTTGGCGTCACAGTGATGACCGTTGGTCCAGTTATTTTTTTTTACCACCCTGTAAATTCATTCATCAACCCACATTGTGGAAGGGTCTAGCGGAGCCGTTCCGCTCAACGCTGTGGAGTCAGCGGACCCCTTGCATGGGGACAATACGTGCAACGCGTGACCTCACGGCGTTAATGAGGCGGGCTGGACGTGGCCCTAAGCCGTCCCGAAAAACCCTCCCTCCCTCCCCCCACCCTCCTCTCAGCTGCGGCTGCTGTGGAGGTAGTAGCGGGCTGCCACCACTACAGCAGTGACGTCACGGGCGACTTGGGTGCTGTAGCGGGGGCTGTGGGGGTAGTAGTAAATCTACTGCGGGCTCCACGGCTCCACGACAGCTGCATCCGAGTCGCCCGTGACGTCACTGCTGTAGTGGTGGCAGTCTGCTACTACATCCACAGTTACCACACTTCAACTTCTTCAACTTCAACAAGGGTTATTACGACTGCTTGTTCATAGCGAACTGGAGCCACCCATTTCTCGGGTCACGCAGTCAGGCCGGATCCGGCCCATCCCCTGCGGTAGGCTAGTGCCGTCCCGTCCGTGGGTTCGCAAATGCTGGCACCCCTTCTGCACTCTGCTTTAGCTCCGGCGGTGCACAGACTCACATCGCTAGTCACCATCGCCTAGCGGCGGTATTACTCCAGGCTACAAGCGTGGCACAGTAGGGACGGTAATCCGAGCCCAGGCCAATGCTAGCCACCCGGTGTAGGCAGTGAGGCTGCCTACGTGACCGCACTATAATACTGAGCGACACTCATTGTGCCACCCAGGTGGGTCACTGAGGGGGGGGGGGGGGGCGCCCCGGGCCGCGACCTCGCACCGAGGCGTCCGGTCTCCCTATTGGCCCCGGGGGTCCCCCACCTCCAAATTGCAGGTACCTAAAAATGAATTGTTTTAGCAGTACAGTGCAGTGCAGTGACTTAGTGCATCCCCCCTCTCCCTCCCCTGCTGGCCTGTAAAGGGGGCATATTAACACACTCCCATGACTAGAGTAGGTGACTAATTCTTCGGCGTATCAGCTGCTGTGGGAGAGAGCTCATTAGCCGGACTAGATTCAATTGACTACCTCTTCTGACCTGGTGTCCCTGTAACAAATGGCTCATTAGCTTTTAACTAATTAGGTGTATGAAATCAAGGAAAATGTCAGATGTAGTCATTTTTTATTCTTTATTGTTTCAAATCATTTACATTATAAAAGTAAGTCTTCCTCAAGTAGCTGGCTTGTTTCTGCTGGTGACTTGGGGTGAATCTGAATACCTGAAAAAGAAAGAAAAAAATCTAAGTTAAATTCAAATTATCAGAGTTCAACTCAAACGTTTTCTGGTCCATATGGT